AAAAGAAAAAAATTTAATTAAAAAAAGAATTAGAATGATTGCCGAAAAAAAAAAAAAAAAAAAAAAAATAGAGGTAGTAGTAGTAGTAGAAAAAGAATAGTAGAGTTTGAGTTTTTCAGAAGAAGATAAACATAAATAAAATTAAATAAATTAAATAAATAAAATTTTTGTTGTTGAAATAATTTCTGTGTTTAAATATTATTAATATTAAATTATTAAATAAAGTAATAAAATAAAATAAAATAAAATAAAGAATAAACGAATTTAGATTCTATGATTTCATAATAAGCTAGAAAATAAAGACTTTTTATAAATTACAATATGTAGTAAAAACTTTAAATCCTAAGACTTTTCTGTTTTATATATAAAGTAAGACAAACAGAAAACAAGATAGTATCCATCATATTCAAATAGGCTAAAGCTTGCAAGAGGCCTTTACTACTTATAATTTTACACTGTTAATAATCATATATAGTTTTCAAAATTCAGATTAACAAATATGCTAACAAGTCAAAATATTTGTCATTCATAGTTATAGCTACTACATATTTTGTTAATGAAGAAAAAGAAAAATAAACTAATATTAAATTAATTAAAGAAGATAATAAAATAAAATAAAATAAATAATATTTGATAAAAATTAATGATAAAGAGAGATTTGAGATAAGAAAGATAAAGGAAGGCAAGGAAAGAGTAAGGTTATTAAAATGTTTTAAGCAGAAAATTTTTTGTTATTAAATTTAAGAGTAAGAAGAAAGAAGAGTATTATTTTTAAAGAGGTTATAGTAGAGAGGTCAAAATTTGAAGATGCAAATTATTGTTGTAGATGTTGTAGTATATTCTAAATATCAAAAATATTAATTTGTAGTTTCTATTTTTAAAATAATATTAGATCTTTATGCCTACATATTTGGTTTGTAGAATATCTGTCTATTAGAGTATTATTTATCTTGTAAAGTTGCAGTAAGCTGTGAGCTTTTAGAGTCTTTATACCTACATATTTGGCTTGTAGGGTACTCATTTATTAGAGTATTATTTATCTATAAAGTTGTAGTAAGCTGTAAGTTATATCTAGGATATTTCATTTAGGAATCCTTGTTATCTTCTAGATATATTATATCTAGAAATCTAGAATCTGTTTCTAATACTATAGAAATAAATTTAAAGTTTTTTATTAATATATATGTAGTTGAACTTTTCAAGTATTAATGTTCAAGAGTATTTGATAGAATCTTCCTAGCTTGATAAATTAAATGAAATTTCCTTATGTTTTTAAAAAGTAGTAATATAAAAATCACTAGTCATCTTTTGCTTAGAATTAACAAACTGTAAGTTTTTTTATGCATTTTCTATTTGCAAAGGGTAGAGATATTCTTTACTATCAGCTCACTTTTGCTCAGAAGTAGCAAACTATCTTAATATAAATAAATTAAAAATAGAATATTCAAAATAATGTTCATAATGTTCTGGGTTTATATCTACAATAGTATTGAATATAAGTATCATCTAATAAAATTATCTACAAGAATATAAACATGTTCAAGTTATATATCTAAGGTAAAGTTGTTTCAACTCTATATAATATCTAAGAGTTTAGTTGTATTCTAGTCTGTAAAACTCACTTTCTTTAATTATTATAGGTATGTGGTAATCTAAAAGTAATGAGTTTTGTAAAGGTTATCTACTATGAAGGAAGTATGAAAAATTTCTAAAAATTTTTGCCTATGTGGCATAGTAAGAAAAAAGATATTTTGCAGATCAATTTCACAAAAGCTATTCTAGAAAGGTATATATACTATGTTTGTTTGACTTGGTATCTTAAGTAAAGTTGTAGACCAAGTCTTTATAATTCTAACGCATATTAAAACATTAAAATTTGTCTAGTAAGAAGCAAGATATAATGATTTTTGTAAATCACTAGAACTATATTTCTCTTTTTTTCTTGAAAGCTTCTTTAAGAAAATCATTTTAAAAATGCTAATGGAATTATTCAGAGCTATTTTATAGGTCAGAGAAGTATTTTTATACTAAGATATATTATAATAAAAGTTGTAGAAGAAGTTCTTGCAAGTATAATAGTATATATTTCATTTTTCTATATTCAATATTCGCCAAAAATATTAGCAAAATATGATTTGCAATTATAAATTGTTCTTGAGGAAGTTTCTCTTTAAATTTTCTTTTGTAGTTTGAGATATACTACAATTCTAATAGTTTATCTATATATTATTTATTTGTATCTACTCATATAAATAGTAAAGTTTCTAGAAGCTTTAATTTCTAAATAGTTATGAGTATAATCTCTTCTGGATCTCAATATACTTTTGTAAAAGTTATATTATATTAGCTTGGTATTCCTAGGTTTGGAGAATTGTATTTTATTTTCTGTATAATCTAAATCATTGCTAGAATATCAGAAGTTTTTTTTAGAGTTTGTGTAATATAAGTTGGGATCATCAAAGAAATTAAGAGAGAGGCTTCTTTGTTTTAGAGATCAGCAAAGGAGAAAAAAAAAGACTTCTTTAGGTTGAAGAGAAGTTCTATAGATGTTATTTTTAATATTTCTACTAGAAGGTACCAAAATATTACAAGTGTTAACTTTCTTTATACAATACAAATAATATAAGATATAGAAGAGGGACTTCTAATAGTATCAAAATAAAATATTACATTACTGTAGTAGTTTATTAGTTAAAGTTTATTTTTAAAGCCAAAAGATTATATTTATTAAAGAACTAGTAGAGAATTTAAAACTTTATTAAGTACTGTATTATTTTAGAACTATACAGATTGATTTTATAGAAAGGAAAAAAGAGAAGATTTATATAGCTTTTTAGAAAAGGTAAAAAAGGTAGAAAAGATAATAAAAGTAGAAAAGATAGAAAAGGTAATAAAGATAGAAAGGTAATAAAGATAGAAAAGGTAGAAAAGGTAGAAAAATAATTTATTCTAATATTGCTTCTAAGATAACTTAATAACTACATATTCTACAAATAAAAAATATAATTCATTTAAAAGATCTAATTAAGCTGAATCTAATGATAAAATCTAAAACTATTTTTAGCTAATAAGTTATTAAGAAAAATGATGATAAATAAATCTAAATATATATAATAATATAAAAATATAATAATTAAGAAATATGCTAAAACCTATTTTATAATAATATAAATAAATTTTAATAAGATATATAAGCAAAAGATTTGTATAGTAGAAATTCTGAGTTAATGAAGTAGTATAGCTTTCTTATAGAACTATATTAATTAAAATCTAATCAAAAAAAAAATTTAGTCTAATAAAGATAAAAAGTTTTAAGATCTTTAGACAAAAACTAGCTGAATACTAAAAAAGAACTAGATTAACTAATTAGTAAAGAACTATAGTAGAATCTAGAATTGTATGACTATCTATAAGAGTTTAATCTAGATAAATCTATAAAATAGATACAGATTGTTTTAGTAGATTTGTTTTAAGGTTAACTAGCTCTATAATATCTATATTAGATATAATATATCTTGAAAAATCTAAGCTATTCTAAGTAAATAGATCTGTAACTAGTTAACTAATTTAAGTAGTTAAGTGTTGTAATAATATTAGGTTAGATCTGTATGAATTAATAAACAAAGCATTTAGATAGATAACTTACAAGCAAATTACAAATATAATAGTATAGTATAAAACTAATCAGATAATCTAACAACTATATAGCAAACTACTTAAAATAGATAATAACTAAAGTTATATATATTGTTTGTTATATACTCTTCACATAATTACCAACAGTAGAAATTATTAATATATAATCCTATATGCAATACTAATAAAATCTTTTTGATAATATAAGCTATCTTTAACAAAAAATAAAAATAAAAAATACATATAACAAAGTTAAAAAACAAGAAATTAAAAAAAAACTAGTGTTTTAAAAGAAGTTCAGACTCAAAACAGATTACAAAAAAAAATTTTCTATAAGAAAGTAGGAATTGAATATAATCTATAATATAAATTATTTCATGAAATACAAATATATAAAAACAATATAAACAAACAAATATGATATAAGAAAATATGTATCTTGTACTAAATAATAAAAATGAAATACATGTAGCTAAAATCAGATAATTTATAAACAAGAAGAAAAAACTTTAAAGAATTTTAGAAAAAAAGTAAAGTTATTTCAAAATATAATAAAAAGAAGTGTAGTATAAAAACAGAATATAAAAAACAGAGCTAAGTATAAATAAAGCAAAAAAAAAATAAAAGATATAAAATAAGAAAAATACTAGAATTATTACTAGACAATTTACAAAAAAATACAAGAGATTTATTTCAAAAAGGAAGTAAAGCAATAGAGAAAATAAAGGAATTCTTTGATAAAGCAGTAGTATCAGCAATGATAGTTGATAAAAAACTGATTACAGTAACAAGATAATGAAAAACTGCAATAAAAAAAATCGCAACATTGAGGAATTCTTAATACTTTAAAAATTTTCTAATATATTACTTGACTAATAGAAGCAAAATTTTACGTTACACCTGATCTTAAATTTTAATTAACTATTCTAATAGCTTTGTAAAAGCATTAATTTTATATAATCTAATACTAAACACAATTTTATTAATAAAATTAAAATACGTATAACCAGGCATAATATTTATTCGTTACGTAACAAAGCTTTAATAGGTTTAGAAAAATTTGTGAAATATGCGAATTATAAACTTATAATAATTAAATCAAAATCTTTACAACAGTTGTCAATAAACATGTTATTTTAGTTAATTATTAGACATGTGCTTAAAACCTTTGCCTAACTATGAATTTGGCCGAAATATAATTTCCTTTTTCTTAGATTATGTGATTTTGAGACATCTAAACAAATACATAGTTATATATTTACTTGTGTATTTGAACAAAATAATAATTAATCTAAATTCAGAACCTTATTAAGAGCATTTTTATATTCTGTTACATGGCGTTGTAAAGAACGATTAGACGCTAGTATAAACGTTAAAATTGTGATTATTAATAGCTCAGAAGTAATAATATATTAATAAATATTATATTACTTACACAATACTGTCAACACTTCTTCAAGTAACTGACGCTTTGACATTCCCTAAAAATAATTTGATAGTAAGAAAGCGATAAATATTAAAGCTTAACCCGAATAACAAGCGAATATAGTACCATTAAAAATGGATCCCAATTTGATTTTGCGCGACCTCCAAAATCTTCAGTGCTAATATTTTAAAAACAAATTAGCCTAAATTTTTAAAATTCATTAAATCCAAATGTATACTTGCTTATTTGTAGGCCCAAGCAGTTGAACACATAGTTCGTGTAACCGATATTCTGCTTCCTCATCGGCTATTTTTTGGGCATATTGGAATAATAATTTCTTATACTCTACAGGAGAATTGACTAATTCGGCGGCAACAAGTTGAGTTTCTAAATAGCCAATCTGATGATTTGGTTGCCCTGGAGTATCATTTCCACTTAATCGTCTCAAGTGCGACAATGACCCAAGATTTCTTACACCTCCTTGCCTTGCATAGTTTTCAAGGGATGCTAATATTCCACCACCATTAACTTCACCAATTTCTGATCCAGTTGAGTCTTTTGACGTATATCGTGGATCGTACACACGCGTCCAAACATGCATATCAAAATGATAACACCATGCTTCATTTGTACTGTGCCAACAACAAATTAAGAGTTAACGAGATTTTATATATTAGATTAACAATTACGACAAATCTATTTACCTCGTGATTAGTAATGGGATCCCATTAGATCTAACATGTGCACTTATTATAGACACGGAAGAATTAAAATCGTCCGAATTTAATGATGCAGAATAAAGAATTGGTGCAATAGATACGGAATGTACGATTGCTTTGAGGTTTCGTAAATCCCTGCATTGCAATCCATGGCACTACACTTTAGCCTTGAGAAATTGTGATAACAGCATAACAAATGATGTAAAAATAAATTTCATTAACTTGAATCATAAGAAGAAAAATCAACTTACCAAACACTAAGTAACCCTACTTGAGTTAAAACCAAAAGATAATCTCGACATATTTCAAGAAATGAAGCAGATGACTCGAGCACTATCACTGGTAATAACCTGTACAATTTAAAAAGTTAATAATAGTAATAATAATGTACGAAAGAAACAATTCACTAACCGTCGACCGGCAGAAGAGTATATATATATGCTACCATCTTCACATGCGACAGCAGAATATTGTGAATGTCCGGTAATAAGTATCACCGCACTCGGGACGTAGTCAAACCATACAGTAGCCTTACCACGAGTACACATTAGTTGAGATGGTGCTAAAATGGGGATATAAAAAGATTAGTTTTCATTGATCAAGTGAAAGACTTATTATATACAAAAGTTCATACAATTGTCACTAGAATTGTAGCATTCTAATTTTAATGTTGCACCATCTAGGCGGTCTTTAGCAAGGTAATTCAAGACCTTATGAGTAGCTAATCTTACTTGCGACATTGCAACAGATGGTGAAACTAAGGATGATCTTAAAACACTTGATTGTGGTTCAACTTCTGACTGTATCTTGCCAGATATATTTTGTCGCTTGTTAGATTGAGTAGTTGTATCTGATGTTGGCGGAGTACTCCGTTTATTTCCAATAATAAGAGTAGGAATTCCACCAGGCGGCAAAGCGCGAGAAGGAGCGTCCATCTCGCTGCCTAATATATCTTCAGTTGATAATTTTTGATGACTATTTGGAAGAGCAGAAACAATTGTAGAGCCATTACTTGATGTAGAAGGTTCCTGACAGAATAAAATGTAAATTATAATTTGTGCAAAAAAAAAAAAAAAAAAAAAAAAAAAATCCCAACTTTGATGATTAAAAAATATATGTGTGTAAAGTTTACTTACAACAATAACTTGTTCGGAAGTTGAAGATATGTTTGGTTGTAAATGAGGAGTAGATGAGATAAGACTACTAAATGTAATCTTTTGATAAGTACAATTCAAATGTTGAAAAATATATAATTCAATAAATTTTACCTTTTCAAAAATTGAGGCTGAATCCTCCTTTTTCCATCTTTTGTCACAGTAACAGTTTGTTGAGAAATAGCAACATTAACCGTTGTGTTAGGTGCAGAAGTCGATACTCCATTAGTATTTGTAGACATTTCACTATCATAGTTAATTGATTGTTGCGTTCCGATTGAAGGCAGTGGTTCTGGAAGAACAGTTGGTCTAAAATCGGTAATCGTTGGGCCAGTGGTTAAAATTTTGTTTGTTTCAGAAGTGCTAATATCCATATCAACAGTTGGACTATCTAACGGTGCCATCATATTAGCCATAAGATCCGATTTCTCTTTACTTTTTACAATTGCATATTCACTTTCTAAACTAAGTTGAGTAGTACTTTCAAGAATTATCGGCTCTTTTGCAGTGAAACCGTATTTTGTAAGGAGCTTTTCCTATATAAATAAAAAAATAAAATTTATTGTAAATAACAAATGTAAAAGTGGATGTAGAATTGGTTGAATCTCTCACATGTTCTTCATCAGACACCCGAGTGCCAAATTCTTTATTAATGAATTGTAAAACAACCACAGTTCCATCATAAGAACACGCATAAAGCTGTGTACCATCAGGTGACCTTTTGATAAAATAATATAATTTACAGAGGAATCAAATCAGTACTTTTCTGAATATTTATTAATCCATTAATTTTTATATAATCACCACGCCAAATCCAATACGCTGTGTTCAAAAGGTTTTTGACAAACAAAGAGTGGACGGGCATTTCTTGTTACCCATACAGAAATGCTATGATCTTGGCTTCCAACAGCGCATACACTACCCATGGTTTCAGAATTAGGATCAGCGTCATCACTGTCAGGTATCATAAAAATAACTGGATTAAACGCCTAGGTATAATTTAATTTTTGATGAGTACGTTTTAAGATTTATGATATTAGTCGATTTACAACAATAGTTAATACTAACCACGACTTCAATTGCAGAATCATGCCCCACCAAGGATATGTCAGTTCGCCATTCGCCTCGATTAAATATAGCTGCGATAGCTACCGCACCTTGTGCACCATTTGCTGTTGCGACATGAGAACCATCTGGAGACCAGCTGTATATCTTATCAGTAACATACTAGAATTAACAAGTAGGATTAGTTAAATAAAATGGCCGAACCTACCTAAGACGACGGTAAAAAGTAGTTGTGGGAGAACTTGCATAAGGTTCACTGATTTCAGCTTGCACGGTCCAATCAGTAGTTCGCCATATTTTAACTGTTTTATCATCAGACTACAATCCATTTGATTAGTAATTTCAATAATCACGTTTTAATTACTGTAATCTGATTCAATCAATACCTCTGTTGCAAGATATTCGCCAACGGGATCCCACGTAACACCTTTAACAAATCCAAGATGCTGATCTAATTTATGCAATTTTTCTACATATAAATAATAAATAAATATATATATATACATGAATTAATATCCATGGTTAAATGGTATAAATGGTATAAATTTAATTAATTTAATCATTTACCAAACGTTTTGCCGTCCCATATGAATACCAAGCTGTCTAAACCGCATGACGCCAAATAGGTATTAGTTCTCGACCAAGCAAGATCAACTACGTCTGGAAAATATTTTTGATAATAGATGAATTCGTCAAAATTAGGATTGTCCAGAATAATGAATTAAATAATAACAATAATCACCTGATTGATGCCCAGAGAGTCGCTTTACAGGTTTCCAATTCTCAATGTTGTGCTCTCCACTTCCAAACACGCTTCCTCCTGACCATCCTTCAGTAGATCTTGTTCAACATACGCACTCGAAAGTAAGATTATAATTGAACGTTCAATAATATGCTATTATAAATCAGTTTGATCAATTTACCTATCCCATTCCCATATCAAAACAAGTTGATCATCTGATCCTGAGGCTAAATATCGCCCATCTTTGCTTGACCATCTGACGCAGAGGACTGAGCCTAAGAACATGAAATTAAATTAATAAGCAATAAATCACAGAATTAATTGTTTAGATCAATCTGAAATTTAACAAACGATAAATTACGAACCATTGTGGAGACCTAAAGTACATAATAAACGTGGTACACTAGGATCGTTCGCTTTATCTACATCAATTATGCTGGCAGTACTCCATAATTTTATTTTATTATCTATATAATCAAGATATTTAGGTTATGTTTTGGTATAAAAAATTTTTGAAGCTATAACAAGAGTCGATCGTCGAACTAAAAGTCTAATCGGCTGGTGTAAAGTAGCTATGTCTCAGACTAAATCACGTACCGAGACCTCCAGTTGCTAAGCGAGATCCGTCAGGGTGAACGTGGACCGAAAAGATTGATGTCCTCTGATTTTTATCGTCTTTAATAAAGTGAGATATTGAAATTAATAGTTAATTATTTAGGAATGTACGAGGTTAAAAACTCTCACCGAAGTGCCCGAGCCAACTTGGTTTTGCCAGATGCATCTCTCCAGTTTTATTAATGTGGAAACGTAGTAAAAAACTCCAAAAAGATACGAACGCGGCACGATTCTTAGTACAGATACAAGATTTGACGTGTCACCGATTTTTGATTTTTACTAAAATAACTTTATCAGTAATTATGCAATCCAATAATAAAAACCTATATATATATATTTATAACCTATGTATATTTTTAACTTATTAATACTCATTCGTACAAAACCAAAAATGACAGTCTTTTGGTTTTGCACAGAAATGCGTATAAAAGATCTTCTTATTTTAACATATTTACTTCTAACAAAGATATAATAAAAATCAAAATACCATTTTATATCGTCGCTTCATTGTTTAAAATACAAAATATCTTCATATAAATCTATTTTATACAAGTATGTCAGAACATAGAACTCAATCAGTTTTTTCTTATCCTTCTCCTGCAACAAATCCTCCTCCAAAAACAGACATATCTCTAAGAGAAATTTTAGATACATATCGTGATAATAATGATCTATTGAAACAAATTCTCGCAACTAAGGCGGAGGAAGATAAGGTAAACACTATAAATCTATTCGATTTTGACAGACCGAACGAGCTTGCTATCATTTCAACGGATTCTAGTTCTACTGTGTCAGATACGCCCTATCAGTTCTTTTACCGGAACAGCATTTGTCATAAAGGACCGAAGATCATGAACACGAATAATTTGTAATTCGCAATAACTAATTTTCAAGAACTTTTATAATTTTGTTGATTCTAACAGAGACGTGCTGAAGAAGAAAAGTATAAAACTGAAGCTGTACGTTTACAATGCAAACAAGTAGAATTAGAGATGTTAAAAGAACAAAAAAAACCACCGACTATTATCACTGGAGTGCCACGTATGCGGAATTTCTTTAACATTTTTTTATAACTATTATAATCAACTAATGTACCCATCCATATATATCCACATCAGCGATGAATACATCAAACAGTTTTAATATGTATGTTGAACGATTATTCAAGTCTTTTAGCTTTGTCTTATCACAATTGAGTAATGATGTAATTTCTAATCTATATATTTTTTAAAAATAAAAGGAAATCACCTTCAGAAATCAATAGCCCATACCTACCGATACCACCACCAAACGGTTCGTATAAATTTTCGAATATAGTTTCTCGATATCTCTTTCTGACATATTTCGTTCTTTTTAGATACGCATTATCCTGCCACTACTCCAACAAGTGCGACACGTTTATCACCACCATCATCTTCTAACCACGGAAATGACAATTCATCTTATAATCACAATGGGATATCTTCGCACAATTCCTATAATCCATTAAGCCAAAGACCCTCATTAACATTATCCATTCCTTCGTTCCCAATTATAACGGCGTCTCCAACTACGATTCATAATCAGCACCCATTTTCCACCCCTACAAGTAGTGTTCAAGAACATCCACCTTCTGCATCATCCCAAACAAATCATTATTCGCAA